CTTTTTCTCCTCAGCTTTTAAGGTTCATTATCCTCTGTTCCCAAAGCTTCTAGGGTGATGTATGCAGTAACAGCTCCCCAAACACTTGCATCTCACCCCAAAACAAATACAAGTTAATTCTCAACCACCCCTCCTCCCAACCACATTTTTTCTGTGGGACAGTTTTGGGTCCTTAATGTGCCATTCCTCTGTCTGGGCAGCCCTGGTGTGTAAGGCTCACTCTGTTGCCTACAGATAGGATCCATTGCTAAAGCTCAGTTCCTGGGCTGTAGGTGGATTACGCTGCACTGTGTGCACCATTCGTGATTCACCTAATTAGCTTTCTTACCTCAGTCAACCCTCCTTCTGTGCCTGACCCTGTCCCCCTCTTGCCCTAATATTCTGAGCATGAAGAAAGTCCCCTGTGGATGTTGCCAGAGGTGGTGGGGAGGGATGAGGCATTGTATGGAACAGGACACAGTATCCTCAGGCTTCCTAGTGTTGCACTTTGCTGCTTTTTTTCCTCTTGTTTGACCCTGAAGAGGGCAGCACAGGCCACCTGTTTGGTGCATAAGCTGATGGAGACTTGTGTCAGGTCCCAGTGGGCAGCTGTCCACAGTGGGTGGCACTGCGATTGCATTCATTTGCAGTGGGGTCAAGGCTAGTAATGACTAGATAAAAGGCCAGAAGCAGCTTTCTTACAAGTTTCCCGCTTACAAACTCCTACATGATATGGGGCAGGGATTGGAGAAATCCAGTCCATAGAGAATAGGTCTCTCACACAGAGCATCATCTGCTAAAAAAGCACAGGTATGGGAGACTGCGCCCAGCACTTCCTACCCACAGATAACCCTAGAGCAGCCGATTCTGGGAGTCCTGCTCAGTCAGCACAACTCAGCCTGGGTTGCAGTTTGGGATATTGGGCAGCCCCATTCTTTGTCCCTTCCTAGCTGGGAGTTCCTGTAGGTTTGCTTCAGATTTGCTGGGTTTTGCCCTAGACCTGAACTAGAATAGAGTAGGGCCCATCTCCAGAGTGGTTCTTTTCATGCTATATAGTAGTGTTCCTGTAACAAGCTGATGCAAGAGTGAATAACATTAGGAAGGAATATGTGGGGGCCTGGGTGGAAACAGAAAGATAAATGAATCAGGGTTGAAAGAAGGTCAGGGCCCAACATGAATGAGACCAAATCTCCCTCTGAAAGGGGAGCTCACCACTTAACACTGGGAATGTGAAGCAGAAAATCATTCTGTATTCAGTTACATGCTGTCTTTCTCTCTAGGTCGCAGTGACCTGGAGGGTTTTAGTACGTATCTAAAATGGTTCATTTACAGCAGAAGCAAAAGTTTAAAGCCTTTCAACTGGTTCTAGATCCCACTCAGCTACCATGTACCATACTGCAGTTTACCATGTTTAGTGGCCCAGTGGATTTTAACCTTCAGATGAAGCAACCCAACTAAAATCGGAATCAGATTGAATCTTCTGCCAAGCCCAGACTTCTGTGAGGGTCAGAGAAATGCTTAACACTCAGGATTTCTAATCTTTTTGTATGTCCTGGGTTCTGCTGGATTGAAGCAGAAATAAACAAAATGCTGAGAGAAAAGCTACTTCGTATCTGGCTAGAAGAAGGAAATACTAGAAATTGCATGGAAAGGCCTGATTTTTCTGACATTTTCAGCCCATTTCTAGACCAAGGAGGCTCTAAAAAGCAGCTGAACATTTGGACTCTTATTTGACTTGAGTCTCAGATTTCTTGCATGATTTCAAATATTATAAGTTTTTATGTGTTACCAATCCTGAAAGTATCCAGCCTGTGAACACAGTTTCCCCACTGGTTATCAGGCACTATGTCATAAAGCTAACATAACTACTTTTCTGGGCAGGTGAAGGGGGCTGAAGAACAGATTCGATTGTCATTGGAATCCACAGTAGGTAGGGCAGGCTTAGATTAGATATCTGCAATGACATATAAGTATTTGCACATTGGTGTACTCTGATCTGAGAATTAGTATGTGCAGCAAGTTGGCAAGTCTGCACTGGACATCTTTGTTTGCTTTGGTATTTGAAACAAGGCTATATGGCTGCTGTGATGAATAACTAGGGCAGACAGATCAGCCACAGGAAGCAGTAGAGCCACATTGCTGTCTCAGGACAAAAGACTCCAATTCATGTCTAAGGAAAGTAGGCTTTTCTTACCAGATAGTTACCAGATTCCCAGTGCATGCTGCAGGGATGGGATGAGTGCAGTTTTTTAATGATAAAATGGGACAGGGCAGAGTAGGTCAGTATAGTATATCAGCCCTGGCCCTGAGCCACCAAACTTGCTCTTTGTTTGTTCTGAGTTGTGTCAGGGCAGACAGAGCAGCATTCTGGCTATGGTTCAGTTACTGGTAACTTAGCATAGTGACCTCTTTTTTTTTTATTATATTTTTTATGCATGAGGGGCCTCTTCATGCAGGAAGCAGCAAACAGCAATCTTCTTGAATCTTTTTTACATAAAGGGAGGGTAAAGGAACCTGAATACATGTTGAAGTAATTATGCCTACTGAAGCACTCACAGCACTATCAGAACAGTGGAAAAGGGTATAAGGATAAACGAGACTCAGGAATCTTAGATATGTCGTATGATAACAGGATTCCATGTAATGACACAAGGTGAGTTTTTGTGCAGTCGTGTATATTATGTGATCCAGTTGCAGACCCCCCTATTTGGGGTACATGGCCCATCATAGCCTGAAGGTCCAACCTGAAGTTGAGGAGAGAGAGAATTTGATAGAGGCTGCCGGCATTTTTTGGGACAGGCCTTTATTAGATCCAAGCTCAGAGCTCTAGAACTGAGAATAGAGTAGGTAGTGTTTTGTGGCCATGAGATGGGCACAAGGAAGCTGTGGAGGACTTTGCTGGAACAGATTCTGCACTTCAGGACATGTAGTTGCCACATGAAGTATCAGAGGATAAGCTTTACCCCTTCCCCAAAGACAAAAAAGGTACCTGTTTCAGGATGCCTATAACCTAACCATTGTCCTTTTGTCATTTGCTCTATTCCTTCCACATATCACTATACCTGACACAAGAGTGCTTTCTAGCTTCAAGATGGCAAAGCTGTGGTGAGACGTGCTATCCCATGTGAGAACAGAATGGGATGCTATTCTCCAGGATTCCTGCTTTGATTTCCGTCCCAGTCTAAATCAGAGCCTAGTCCTGCAGAGAAACCCACTTTTTCAGAGAAGTGGGGCAGGGGGCACACTGCAATGTGAGTGGTCAGCCTTCTCATTCTTTCAGTTTCAGGATGTACAAACACTCCTTCCTTATTTGGTAGGTAGTAATGAACTGCTTGTCTGGAGTGGATGGGTCACTAACTACATCCCAGCAAGTTATTTGAGAGCAGTGGGAGCAGATTGGGGTGAAGCTCTTTTGAAAATCTGGGCCTAACTATAGCTAGAGACAAAATTGCAGGAACATGAAACTACCATGTGTAGGTGAGCAGTTTTACTGAGCTGAATGCTAGGTAACTACATGATAAATAAAGAAGCTTTATAGGATAGTTCTGCTGTGGAATTATAATAGGATCCAAATATTTGTCCAATTTACAGCCTCCTGTAAGATTCGTAAGTCAGAGCCTATTATTAAGTCAACATGCAGGCCATCCCATGTGCCTGGCATAAAGGATGGTGTGATTTAAGCCTGGTGCAGAATCGTTATTGGCATAACGGAGTCAGGACTGTCCGTTGTACTTAGTGTGATTGGGAGAACAGACTTTGGAATGCATTCTTCTATCTAACAAGTCTAGCCTGTCATCAGGAAATTCTGCAGGGTAAGGGCAATATATGCTGTATTCAAAACTTTGCCAGTCTAGTTAAATGAATCCAGTGTGAGCTGTTTTCAGGACAGAATTGAGCAGCTGGAAGGTATGTTTATTACACTCCATCATTATAAAACAGGCTGATAACATTTTCTCTTTGTTTTGGTATTACCATCATCAGGAACCTTTGTCTGTGCTAATTTTCTCTCTAACGGGAATAGATGCATCCTCTCAGCAGAAGTCTAGAGAGGAGACCTGTAATCTTACCCTAGTAAAGCCTACCTACATCATTTTCATTATAACAATGCTGTCTATAGCCCTGGAATTTAGTCTGTAAGACAAGCATGTGGATCTCTACAGAATGCATTCATATACATCCTTCCGCAGTAGGACTGAACATGGACTTCAAAGGCAGGGTCACTTCCGCAAGCAGATTACAACACTGCTAAGTCCATTGGAATGGACTTCCTTTGCTATGAGTGCAGAACCTAGGGGCTGTTTATTTACCTTTTTGATCCAGTGTCTTGGACTCTCTACCCAGAAAGAGACTTCAAACACTGGTATCAATGTGTAAAATCAACTTTTCCCCTTCAGTGACCAAACAATCTCTTCTCCACTGAGAAAGAACCTGTTTCCACAGCAGTAATGTCTTGCTGACCTTCTGGTACCAAGAGCTTCCTCTTCCCTGCAGTGTCTGTCCGGGTCAGTGTGAGGAGCTCTTAGCTAGGATGTTTTTACCGTGCTAAAGAATATAGAGTGCTTAGTGGACAGTTATTCACACTACATGGCCTCCACCACATAGTTTGACATAGTTGCCAGGCTCTACTTAGGAGACACTCAGGCCTGAAACAGCAGAAGAGCATGGTAGGTCAGACTGGGTGGGGAGAAAGGTGCTGAGAGAGCTGTGAGGTGGAAGCTACTTATTTGCTCCCTGACCTGGGTATTTGTTTTGTGGTGTGTACTTTAAAGTAAGTACAAATTGTATAACTTCTCTAAAAATAAGGGAAGGAACTTCTCCTTCCACTTTCCCAAAAAAGGCTGTGTCTTCCAGTGGGAATTAATCACTAGTTGAACCTCTTTCCTCTGAAAATACAAATTTACTGCAGCCCCCAGCAAAAAGTTCCCATGAAGACCTCTCTGTCCAGGCTCTGCTCTGGGTAAATCATTCTGAAGGAGTCTGACAACTACAGCAGACCATGTTGAATAACTTGGCAACATTCGGAAAGCATCTTGAAGTGGTTTTTGTTGAATGCGTTTTTGCTCTGCTTCAGTGGGAGATGTCACGACAACTCTGTCATCGCCACTCAGCACCCAGAAGACATCTCCCTTTGTCCCCTGCACCCTCAAAAAGCCCTTCACTAATGGGACTGATCGCTTTCCAGAGCTTCTAGTTAATAAATATGGTGCCTCATTGGCAGCAACTTAGTGACACAGCTGGGCTCTCCAGACACAGTGTGATCACCAGCAACGCAGG